TTATTTCCTCCTGAGCCGTAACGAGATGGCCTTTACAGCCGTCATTCTGCCAAGTCTTTCCAAGACAAGCTGGACTTGTCTGCACTGTTGTCAAGTGCCGTCGAGGTGCCTCGACTCAGCCGCCCCGTGTCTGAACCCTGCCCTATCCTGAGCCAGCCTCATTGACTTCACCATTGTTGTTGTTAAGTGCTGTCGAGTCGTAGACGACTCATAGCGACCCTGTGAACAAAAGACCCAGCACTTGTGTGACTTTCTTTGTTTCTCCAAGTTAAGTTTCCGGAAGCAAGCTGTTTCAGAAGTGGATGCCAGTCCTGCTTCCAAGCTCACAGCTGTACAGAGGTTAGCTTCACCATCAGGCACCTTAAAACTCCTTAGCTGCCCCCCACTACCCAAGTCCAGAGCTCTGTCTGTGTTGTACATACATGTTAGCAGCCAGCGCCCGGGACCGGCTTCTGTTTCACTGTCCAGTGCTGTTAACAGGGAACTAGCACCTGTCAGTGACGTTAACACGTTAACGTCCACGTCTCGTTCCCCTCTGCGGGAGCCTCCTCCCAGCCCGAGCTCAGGACACAGGCTCCGGGGAGAGGCCCTCTGGTCCTCATCTCCTGGGAGCTCAGTTCTGGGCTGAGCATGTTGGGCACCTCTCATCCCCCACCCGCCTGTTGGCTTGTAACCCAGTGAGGTTTGTCCTGTGGGATTGTGGTACTGCTTTCCCTCAGACTGTGACCAAGTCAGCAGGTGGGGTGTGTGTGTGTGTGTGTGTGTGTGTGTGTGTGAGGTGCAGGGGTGGAGTGGGCGTGAAGTACAGGGGTGGGAGAGTGATGTGGTGGGGAGTAGCGTGAGGGGAGTGGGAGTGAGGGGGAGGAAGGGTACAGGGTGAGGTCCGAGGAGGAATGGGGCAGGAGGCACAGCATGGAGGGAGTCAGGTACAAGGTGTGGTCTAGGGCACAGAGGTGGTCAGTAGGGAGTGAGAGGACAGGCATCGTGGAGGTGGGAACCTGTGGAGCTTTGTCGTGGGGTCTTTTACAGGAAGAAGAGTCTGTGGGTATTTGTGGTTCGTGCGTGTTGGGGTGTTCAGTGGGGAGCTCGTGGTGGGCTGCCTTGTGGTTACGGTGCTCACGGCAGTAACCGAGGACTCCGGGCTTGAACCCCCCCAGCGACTCTGAGGGGAAGGTGAGCAGCCTCTGAAAACCTGCTCACGGGTTAACTACCAGCCGCTTCGGACGCAGTGGCCGTGAGTCTGGGGCTTCCTAGAATGTGGATTGTGTTTGCATCAGCACGTTATTAGGCGCCAGGAGTAGGGAGCTCTGGTGGCTCAGTAGTAAGGAGTTGAGCTTCTACTCTGAAGGCACGTGGTTCGAATCCACCAACTGTTCAGAGGTGAGAGATGGGCAGTCTCCTCCTGTGGCGTTTGGCTGGGAGGGTCAGCTGTGGGTGTACAACAACGGTGTCTCAGAGGAGATGGACTCACTACACACCCGGCAACCCTGCTCATTAACACAGCAGACACACCGTTCCCAGGGGTGGGGGTGGGGGTTCTGGCTGCCAGCACAGAGGTCAAGACTGCAGCACACTTTTTTTTTCAGGGCCACTCTTCTGAGGGTCCCAGTTCAGTAATTGTTGTTGTTATGTCCCATTGAGTTGCTTGTGACTCATAGCGACCCTATGTACAAGAGCCCTA